TTGTCTCTTTTAATTATTTTTGTGCACTATGCGTGTATTGCATCAAGATAAAAAACGAATAAAAAATGTCTACTTCTCAACTGTTGCTCCCGCACTGTACTATTATTGGTGCAAAAGTAATGCGCGTCTTTCTAGCCCTTGTTTTGAGACAACTTTCCTCCATCAAACTTTCTTCTTTGAAAAAAACTTAGCACAATGCCAAAAAGGTTCTTTCATCCTCTATCCAATGGTGGTTGAAATGGTCTCTAGCTTCATTAGTTAAAAAATAATAGAGCTGCACACAACCGCGCTCGAAACCAGAATTTGAATTGCATTTACGTTTCTGGCCAGAAATCAAGCCCGAATAAAGGCAAACTTTTGAAACTCTAGCTACTGTATTTGATTGAAATTGCCTACATTATGCGTATTTTAACAATTTCTCAGAAATTGCTTAGACTGAGATTTCGACGCCTCAACATGAACAGTTATTTTGATCATTCTAGGACCCATAAATTTCCTGTGAAGAGGGCAATCGCCTAAGCTTTGCTCACTTCTGTAAGAGTAAGGATGGGCCTCCTATTGACAGTTTTTCCAGAACTGTGTAGCTGTTCATTACGCAGAAAATCAAAAAAACTCCATATTTTGGGATTTTTAGGCCTGCGAAAAATGTTCAAAAAAGCGAGCAATTTTGGATTTTAATTTTTTCCTTTTGGCAAAATCCCCTCTGCTTGGCCCTTTTCAACTTTTTTTGTATTACTGGCTTCCGCCTACAATATAGTCTATTTACTATCAATACTAACAAATTTTGAAGAAAGTTATGATCACTTGAAGACAAGGTTTCAGAAAAAAAATTTTTCTGCTTATCAATCCATATTTTTCTGCCCGTTGAAGATATGAGTATAGGGTGTTGTGCGTTGTATTGTGAAAGGCTTGGTGCCTCTAATGTTCTTTACCGCATTGAAAAATGTAGATTTTTTTGAGAGTTATAACACGTTAAAGTGAGAGCTCGCAAAACGCGCATTACTTTTGCACCAACCTAATATAACAAACGTTACCCTGCCGCTGCTGAAAACCGCAGCACCATTACTTGCAAAGAAATTTGCTAATGAACTTGGAACGGAAAATTTTGTACTAACATAGCGATATTGGTGAAATTGATGCATAAAAATATTAATAACTTCAAATCCCGGAAAATTGGAACAGATACTTCATAAACGCAACAATTATGAAATTTCGTTGTATTTTTCTACATTTTTCTTTGATGAGTTTTTATAGCAAATTTTCTGTTTCGCGCTCTTTTTTTTACTTGATAAGAGCCATAACTCTCGCTTTCGTACCTCTTCTCCTTTATCCGCTCTACTGCAAATTCTCCAGTTTCTTCCCCGCCTCCTCTCCCCATAGCCTTTAAAGTGATCTTCCACGAGTCTGTTTTTCAACTATATACTTTTATTAGCATTTACGCCGATCAAAGTGGCAATTTATGAATGTTAGCATTACCTCCGTGCCTTTTCCTCTTACCCACTTCCAACATTTTATTTTCCGAAGTGGTCGCTCATATATCTTTGGCCAGCTGTATTTTTTTTTCAATTTTCTCGTGCCCCACCGCTATGAATCAAATGGAAGCTGTCCAAAGTGCAATAACCACACAGAGCACTAGTGAAAATTTAGAAAAAGAAAACATATCGCAGTGCCCTGCACAGATGCATTCTTCGCAATTTTTTTCCAAAAAGCACCTGTCGCTTTCAGTCGTGCCATTTCTTCTGTGTATTGTGCGTGTCTATTGGCCGCACTATCGTTTCTTCAGCTACATTTTCCGCAGCTTTTTAGTGGAGCATCACATTTTTATGGCATCTCATCAAATGGAAGTACATATCAATCACTCAACCATACTCGTGTAGAATTTTTTCTTTCCATTGCTGAAGGCTCTGGTAGTGTACTTGTCAAATGTTCCTTTTTCAGCTACGGTGAAGGACAGCGCTATTTTTGGGTTACAAACTTTTGCGACATTTTTTCACTTTGAGTAAGACTGATGACAGTAGCAGTAGCTGACGCAGGTTTCCTTTTCTCATCCAAATAGGTCAAAAAAATCTCGAATTTTTCGAGATGGCCTTCGTATGGCTTATAAATTTGCGAGCTGTATCTCTCTGAAGAATATCTAATATACAAAGAATCGTTAGCTCAATTCAAAAACCAAGGGAAATAGCTTTGGGTCCTGAAGTGAACGCTCTTCCAAGTAGCACCTTTGGATTACTGGTTCACTAGTATCAGGAAAATTTTAAAAACATTGACAAAAATGAAATTTCTTTAGAAAAATTCCCCCCCCCCCCCCCACCCTCCAAGCGGGACTTTTTTGTCAGGTGAGATTGTTAGCATTACAACTAATGAAAAATTCAATCCAGGAAGTTTTTTCCATCTTAGAAGAAGGTTGTTAAAAATGATGAAATTTATGTCAAGCACAAAAAAGTCATTTTTTGGGATTAAACCGTTTTCAGCAAAGTATCAAAAGTTCTAGAAATCAAACTTTGTCTATTTTAAAAAATTCTAATGTGGTTTTCAGAATTTTACAGTAATCCATCTCTCTCATTTTCGGCAACTTGTAATTATACATAATTTTTTTTAATATCAAAATTTTCAAACAACTCAGCGCGCTTTTACCATTATTCTTCCTCCCAACCCTCTTCTAAAAGCGTATTCTTGGGTCATGTCAGTCACATCTTTTTCAAAATCTCGTGACTTCGGAAGTTCCGACTTTTTTGCCAGACTGCATGCATTTCGAGTTTGTCGCTATCTCATTCACTTGCGCATTTCGAAGCTCAAATGGCCCCCTGACATCTGCCGCACTGCCAGCTTTATGTGCCAAGCTCTTTTGATGTGACACCCTTCGTCAATCTCAGCGATCACAATCGCATAACTCTACGATAGTTGTGCTTCCCGCGTCCCAAAGGAATGTTTAGCTTGAGTCAGAGCATCGAATCAAGTAAGTAGTTGTCACTGACAGCTGACCATGCTGAGCAGCCCTGACGGGGGCAAATAAATTGTCGTTCAGCTTTGAGTCACTCAAGTTGTGCATCACAATAACAAGTACTATTACGATCGCTTGAGGGGGGGGGGGGGGAATATATAGGAAAGGGCTGAGGTGGGGCACACAAAACATCAAAAACAGAGTCGATTATCTACATATTAAAAATTCCGCAGTTTTTTGGACTCTTTTTCTAAAAAGGCTTCAAACTCTTTTGATTTTAACTAATTTGATTAAACTCATTTCGATGTCTCAAAAATATCATAATTACAGTTGAAGCAATCATACTTCGACAAACGCTTAGATTTCAAGCTCTTTATAAAGTAAGACATACCTCATATAAATGTACCCAAAGATGGGGGAGGAAGGGGGAAAGGGGTAGGGCGCAACAGGCCCGAAATTCATTCTCACGAATTGTCTTTAAATTCATGAAACGATGCTTTATTAGTCATGTAGACCTTCTTGAAAATTTAGCTAAAAACAGGGGGGGGGGGGGTCGCCTACTTACATTGCTGGACTTGTGTACTTCATGTTCAGCAAAGACTTTTCAGAAATGGCTAGCCCTACTCGCAGGATCTTCAACCTGAGGAGTAGCAGGCATAGATTGAAGTTGCATTCCCCCCCCCCCCTCCCGGAAAGGATTTTGTTTGTTTTTTAAAATGACACCCTATATAATCCCAAGTTCTTCAAGCTTTTTGAAAGATTCCGCAGCTTGGTCTCAAGGCTCGTTATACAAGTAAACCTCCTGATGTCATGATTGATCGTACCCTCGGGGTATGGAAAAAGTAATTCGAGAAACCCGAAGTTGAAAAATGGAGTCAACGTGTCTTCCTGACAGCTTTCTTATAGACGTCGGTCACCAGCTGAGCTTATTATTATGTTCCTTTCGTGTATGTTTGTGGCTAGTTGGAAGGAACAGAACGCATTATTTTTTTATAGAATAGTTGGAGAAAAGATTGTACGATATAATGATCTTTTGAAGGAGTAAAAGAAAATAGCTATTTTTGTAAACACCATATGTGTCGTAGTAATGCTGACTTGAAATTAGTAAACAACTGAGACTACTCACTAAATTTTCTACCCTATAAGCTACATATACCCACGAAAAAATCCAGATGAGCTCGAGATATTTGTCGTCTTTGGAAAAGTCAACTTCAGAGGATCTGGTCCAATAAACCAGTTTTAGGCTCTATGAAAATCTGGAAATTTTTTATGCACTATCTGCTAGGTTCTGCTAGGCTTTCGTGTTGTTATATAGCATCAGAGTCTAAATATGATATGCTCATTTTGTTTGATTTTGGTGACGAAATTTATCCTCATATATCAACACACATCAAAATGGCACACAAATTATCTCAAATAAAAGCTAAGAATAGCCCTGCCCATGTAAATGGGAGAATTTTTGTTTTTGAAAAAAAAAAGAGCAACGGTAAAAAAGTCTCTCTTATTTGGATATCGTTTAGGCTGTCTCGCTGCTATCAGTCCGTGAGTAAGCATATGGCTAATTATGAAGAAAGAAAAGGTGTAGATTAATGAGAAATGCAATTTACAAAATTGTATAATTATGCAGTTATTTTTTTTTCAACTTCCTCACGCTATTATTCTTAGAACCTTCACTCTGTGTCTCTACCAATAGCTATGTTCATGTTTTAGTCTTCCAAGTCTACAAAATGCTTGCAGCTCTAGCTCAAACATTTGCTGGAAGTTCCGCGGAACTTTAGCAAATTGTCCTTCCCTACGAAGCTTTTGTTCCACTTCTGTGCAGCCTTTGCTACGATTTCTGAAAACAGACTCTATTGTCACCTCCTAACAAAGATTTTGACACCTCCACCTCCACGAAGTAATTTGATCTTACTTATTACTACCTAGTGCTTCTGTTCACTATACGATATTCCTCAGTAACAATCATGCTCTTCAATGTCAACAGGCTATTTCACTGCTAGCAATGCTAGGCGTGAATTTGTGCTCAATTTGCTAATCTCTTTTGCTTAGTAAGCAATGACTTATTCAGACAGTCGAGCATCGGCTCGGAATGTAGCGATCGCCGACCGAAAATAACATGTGGGCAATTTTGTTCGTGACTTCTGTGCTGGCAGAGGTAAAGGAGCTATTTTTTCTTGCTACCGACTACTTTCAATATTCATTTTTAGAATGCTTGCGATCAGAGATGTAATCGAATCTATCAACGTTCCCTTGCTCGACCCGGTTTCGATGATGACAAATTAGAAAATCTACTGGATAGGCAAAGGCCATTGGGAACTTTGAAGGATATGTGCTGGTAAGATTTCCATTTATTATAAAATTGCAGCTATCTAATCATTCATTCATTCATTCATTCATTCATTCATTCATTCATTCATTCATTCATTCATTCATTCATTCATTCATTCATTCATTCATTCATTCATTCATTCATTCATTCCATTCATTCATTCATTCATTCATTCATTCATTCATTCATTCCATTCATTCATTCATTCATTCATTCATTCATTCATTCATTCATTCATTCATTCATTCATTCATTCATTCATTCATTCATTCATTCATTCATTCATTCATTCATTCATTCATTCATTCATTCATTCATTCATTCATTCATTCATTCATTCATTCATTCATTCATTCATTCATTCATTCCATTCATTCCATTCATTCATTCATTCCATTCATTCATTCATTCATTCATTCATTCATTCATTCATCCATTCATTCATTCATTCATTCATTCATTCATTCATTCATTCATTCATTCATTCATTCCATTCATTCATTCATTCATTCATTCATTCATTCATTCATTCATTCATTCATTCATTCATTCATTCATTCATTCATTCATTCATTCATCCATTCATTCATTCATTCATTCATTCATTCATTCATTCATTCATTCATTCCATTCATTCATTCATTCATTCATTCATTCATTCCATTCATTCATTCATTCATTCATTCATTCATTCATTCCATTCATTCATTCATTCATTCATTCATTCATTCATTCATTCCATTCATTCATTCATTCATTCATTCATTCATTCATTCATTCATTCCATCCATTCATTCATTCATTCATTCATTCATTCATTCCATTCATTCATTCATTCATTCATTCATCATTTGTCAGCTGTCTGCCTTATGATGTAAACGTTCTAGGAGAGTCTATGATCATCTCGACTGCATGAAGCACTGCGGTGGTGACGCACCAGAGCATGAGAAGTTTGCGAAGTATATCAGGAGCAAGTGTAGATTTGCGTTGAGAGGTATCTTGAGTGATGAATAAGACAGTTTCTCTAAAACTCCAGAAAATTCTTCAATTCTTAACTCAGGAATGGAAAACGCACTCGCATGTATAAGTCGCTATCATTCATTCATAGAAGTTCGATGCTCGACTTTTCTCAAAGAGGCTGAACGACTGAAATCGAAGACAGATCCTGCATATACACCAAGTCAGGAAACCTGCAGGTCTTGAAATTCTCTCCTTCAGGTTTCAAATAATGGACTACTAGTGTGGTCTTTTGAAACGCCAATATGACCGTTGAAATCAAAGGGAAAGCCCTCTACCGTGGGACAACGATAAACTAGTACCAGGGGGTGGCATGAGCTGAGTGAGAAAGTTGCGTTTAAGAAGTTTCCTTTGTTTTTGCTGAATTCTTACGAAGTTTCCTTCGACCTTTGGAGACCCTCTCAATACTTTTCGGAGTCTTTTGAAGTAGAAGCTACGAAACGGCCATAGACTAACGGCAAATTGAAAGACAAGAGATAAGCATGAATAAATTTCGTACAACCAGCAAAAAAAAAACAAACATCGCGAGTAGAATTGTATGGGACACGCTTTAAGGATAGGGCATACCCTCGCCGCGCGATTTCTAATTGCGACAATTGTTCATAATCTTCCGTAGGCGCGAACTCTGCAAGCAAGATCTGGCATGTACGCATAAGTTTATAAAAGCTCTGCATATGGATTCCATACGCGTTTTGCAGACTTCTGGCAGATTGCCAGAACGCGTATCGCCGCGATTTTGAAAAATCGCGCGAGGTGTATTCCCTTATCGAAGCACAGTTGCTCCACGACCAAGAAGCTACAAAAAGCAAGGAGTAGGGGAACGGGTCATGACTCACAGTTTGCGCGAAATTTTCGCGAAATGACTTCGCAGCGAGATGTAATGCAGTACATAAATTAGCTCTCGCCAGTACTAGCAATTTTACTTATGGAGTTGAGTCATGCATTTGCCCCTCCGCCCACAATCCTCAGTCCCCGCCGTGCCTCTTTCACCCGAGGGTTTGTATAGGGAACCAAATTTAAGCGCTTTCAGGACGTATATAACCCCCTCCCCTTCTTATTCTTAGTTTTATTTCATTTTTCATTTTTTTCAAAGTAATGCACCAGCAAAAAAAGGAATTTTTTCATAGAGATATTATAAAAATGGGCACCGCTTGCAGATATCTTCACTTGAATACATTATGTTTGGAAAACACCGTGAGAATGTACTGTGCTAATGCTAAGAAAATCTTCAGAAGACTCAACTACAGGTGAACAAGTTATGACCGCTGACTCTGTAGCTGTTCTCACAAGTATCTATTTAGGGACTACTTTCTTAGCTTCGTTCTTCCTACAAATGACACATTGTTTGACGATGAGGATTTGGATGCATGTCAGTTGTATGATTTTGCCAAGAAAAATAGGAAGAAGATCGAAAAAGAAGTTGATGAAGAGGTAACTTTGTTAAACATGTTACCGTTATTAACTAATATATTTCCTGTTTTTTACATCTTTCAGTTTACATTTCCCTACCTAAAAATGGAAAATGAAAATTTTGAATTAGAATGAAAATGGAACTTTCAATAGAATCAGCATTTGCTAGTAAGCAATAGTGCAAATGAACTATCGTTTACTCATATGCTTGGATTCTACACTCTATCTATCTGTAATATATAATACTAGTTGGCAAACCCGGCTCCGCTCGGGCCTGTGAATAATATATTTGTAAACAGCATGCTTGATTACCCCCTATGTCAACTCCCAGCCCTGTAGCTCAAATTTTGCAAAAAATCGATAAAATCGATATCGATCGATAACGAAAAGTAGCCTATGACACGCTCCCTGCCCCGAAGTATATGTGTGCCAAGTTTGGTCCAAATCGGTTCAGAAATAAAAATTTCTATTCCGCACATACGTACAGACAGACAGACAGACATTCAGCTTTATATATAAGACTCTACACAATTTTGTTTTCATACAGGCATGTCAGAATCTTTCTTCATCCATTTACTAAGCATCTCTTGAAGTTAACAAAGGCGATCTTTTGCCCTTCTCTCTATCAAAACATTACTCACATGTTTGATTATTTAATCAACTTTACATTCAAGATGTGCCAAAAACAAAAGACACTAGCTAGTTAGTCAACATATTGCAGAAAGTTGGTAGTACCCGGCCCACCCTAATTCTTCTAACGCTAAAGGTTGCCTCATTGGATTTACATTCTCAAGAATATTCTGCAACTAAAGAAACCAATCAGCGGGTGAATGACAGAGGGGAATGTCACCACACATGACATTATGGGTAGAGTAGCAGCAGATTTTTTGAAGTCAGGTAAACTCCCAGCAATCCGCTGCAAGGTTCACCTGCAATAGAAAACGTAAGGCAGGGAACGGCAAATAAGCAATTAAACGGACTGCTAAAGTAATCAAAGATTGAACATGAATGGTGGGGTAGGTGGGGGCATTACAAGCACAAACTATAGAGGAGAAAAAGAAAGCAACAGTGAGGCAATAATCAAATTTGAAGCCAAAGACCAAGAGCCTTTTATAGGGTGTTAGCCCAACTGAAAGAAGAAAACCGAAAGTTGACTTAGACCACTTTTGATGTCTGTCTGTTTTCGTTGAATTAATAGTAGCGCCAATTAAGGAGTTGACCACAGTCATAAATGACTTCGAGACTGAGGAGGAAACGAGAAGGCCAAGAACGACAGTAACTACATTCACGGACAGAACGGTAATACCACACGAATGACATCAGGCACACGCGATATCTCTGTACTTCATCCGAAGCTACGTTTATGATATTGCATTTTATTAGGCCAATCCATAAGCTTGTAGCGTTTATAAAACCAATAAAATTATCAATTTACAATAAAAATCAACCAAAGTTATATTCCTCGTTGTAGCGCACGACCTCTTGGCACATTCCTATTACTTTCTCGATCTCAATTTTTCAAATGTCGGCGCGCCGACTCCCAAGAAAGTCTCCTAACCAGCGCTCAAACTACTTACTGAAATCGAGACATGTACCATTTATGAGATTTGTTAGAAAGCGGAGCAAATGATAGTTTGATAGAGCGAGATTTGGAGGGTACGATGGGTACTGAAGTACCTTCCAGTCAAACCGTGCAGGACAGTTTTGACGGCGTTTACCGTATGAGGCCATGTTTCGTCGTGCAGAAAAACTCACTGGATTTATCTCTTAGGCTTTTTCTGGGTAGGACCTGGTTTAGACGGTGCAGTTGGATTGCTTACGGTGTGATTGATCAACGCCTACTTGTATAGCGATTTTCAGTGCAGGACTTTCCCCCAGGAAGTCTTGTTCAGGGACACCCCGCTCAGCTCCTGATCTTTTGTAGCAATCCAGTCCTTTTCTGTCTCATACCGATGTGCGAGCGCCATGCTGCATAATCGACAGAAAAATCTGTGCAAAAGCGCTTCTTTTCATAAGGAAAAATGCGCAAATGTCGAAATTGCTCCTTTTTGCCTTTCAAGTTCTCCATCTTTGAAAGCTACGAAATCCGAGTGTATCGGCTTTCCATCGGAGTCAGTAGACATATTTCAAAGAGCACACTCAGCTCTTCCGAATGATATACGCACCTTGCGGCAAATCAGCCGTTCTTAAAGATATGATTATGAAAATGAAAACGCTACGAACTTATGAAACGACTCAATATTTCCAATGCGGTAAAGTGAATGAGTATGGCGGGTGCCTTAAGAGGAAATCCATGAACATAACAATCCATCACAAGCTCAAAATGAATGTTTCAGGAATTTACAACGCTCATTAAAGAACTCCTTGACGAGTCTACAGAACCAACAGCTTCTTCGCTTATCAAGCCTACGCCAGAGAAAGACAGCTGGTCTTCACCTTCACTAAAAACATTGCCTACCAAATCCACTTCTCCGACCTCTTCTACTGCATCAAGGACGAGCTCTCTCCTCTCCACAACAGATGATGTACACTCTTCCGCAACGAAACAATACACAGAAAGCACAAGCCCTGATACTGCCGTAATTACCACATCTACGGATAAGATAATTACTAGTCTCGATTCCACCGTGATCACTACTTCTACTGATGAAGTGATTACAAGTACGCATTCCGATGACGGAAATGGCAGTGAAGAGGAAGAATACGAGGATGAAAAAGAAGAGGACTACCATGATGAAAAACCAGAGAATATTTCAGTTGAAGTGGTTTCGATACAAACGGCGGAAAGGAAACAAGAAGGTAATCTGAGTTATAAACTTTCTTACCTTAAAAGCATTTGTCATTATATGTCCTCTGTTTGGGCTGTTATCTTTTATCCGGGCTTCAGCTTTCAGTTGTCCATTCCGTTTTTATGCTGCCTCGTTATTATATGATTCTGAAGTCTACGCCAAAACTGCGAGCGAACATGTTTGCGCGGAGCCGGATGGCTTTGATCTTTTTGGTTACTTCCTCAGTTGTCTTAAATGCTGCTCATTTCCTCCTGCCCAGCAACAGCTGAGTGTACATCGTACTGATTTCCTGAAGGTAGCTGTAGCTCTAGCTTAACATTAGTGATGCTCACTCTGTGAAACTTGAAAAAAGCATCATTGACTTCCTGATTTTATGAGCATCTTTGTTAGTTTTAGAAGTAAACCGATCCTTCCGCGCAAGTAATCGTCAACATTCTTGCCTGCATGATGCTTGTTTTATCGAAACGATATCCTTAGCAAAGCGGGAATGCTGTAGTTGCCGATTATCCACTCTTACACACTCCATTTTAGAGTATGCATTCCTCAATGATTTCGGGAATAAATTATTGCCTTGTCTTACACCTTTCCTTGTTTCGATGATACTGCATCTTGGAATGATGGGATGTTGGGTGTGAAGCGCTGTGTAGCTCAAGAGTGATCTAAACGAGTAGAACTTCGATTGCTCAGCCATTGATAAAAGCTTCTCTGAATGTGAGAAAAGAGCTAGAAAACAATACCCAAATATTCATTTTGCATGGTAAGTCATCACGAATAGAATATTTGTGTCGAAAGACACTGTGTTATCATTAGTAAAGGCAATGAACATCATTAGAAATTTGGTAACGTAAACATAGCGTCTTTTTCAACAAATATATGATTTCCAGTGACTGAAACCCCACGTATGTCAACTACTACTACTCGCCGACTATTCTCTGATGACAGCTGGGAGCAGCCTCCGCCCAACTTTGGCTACTCATCAATGCGATATCCGTACGTTATAGTACGTTTGCAGATCCTAGTGGAGCTATGAATGAAATTTAGAAATGGAGGCGTGACACCACTGAATATTGATACGAGTACACTCTTTGGTATGGATGATGGTGACAAAGAAGAAGAGGGCGAAGAAACTGACAGGAGAACGTCAACACGCCCATACGCTGACAATAGAAAGGACTCGCTGAAAAAAGTTGATGTGCGAAAAGCTGAGAATGCTGTCAAAGCGTCAGTGCGTTTCGCATCGCGTCCAGCAAAGGAATCGCAGCGAGGTCCGATATATGTGACACAAAGAGTCAGCGTTGCGACAACGTCAACTACGGAAATGCCAACCACAGAAAAGTCAGTTTTATTTGAATTCAATTTGATCAATTCAATTTATTTACAACTGCAATTTTATCATTCAATTCAACTATTTACATGGCTTCTTTTCCTGTTGATCATGTTGAGCACAATAGCACAAACGGGCTTAAAGGCAGTGTCCAGGCAAGTCTGGACACATGGGGATCTCACGTGGAAAGTACTTTTGGGGCCCTAACTAAGGCACTCTCTAAACGGCAGCGCAGGTAGTGCTCTAACGGCTGAGATATCCCCCTCGAAACTAGATCCCGCGATCGTATTTCGCATGGATTCGTGGCGCAATGTGTGGATCGTGGCGCGAAACTGCCATGAATCCATGCGCGTACGATCTCGGGGTGCAGTTTCGAAGGGAATATCTCAGCCGTTGAAGCACTACCTGCGCTGCCGCTTGGACAGTGCCTTAGCTAGGGCCCCAAAAGTACTTCCCACGTAAAATCCTCATAGGTCCAGATCTGCCTGGACGCTGCCTTTAAAGGCAAAAGTGCTCGGACAAGAACTCGACTTTTAGTAAATTCGCTCTTTTGGGGTTATCCGCAATGCTGAATCCGAAAACCCACATTGAAAAAGGCGCGGAAAGGGCGAAAGCATGCGTTTTCTGAAGCCTTACTATTCGAATTAGGACGGTTCCTTTCAAGGCTGAGACGCAGAGTCGCTGCGGGACCCTACGACATTAGCTCTGGCGGTGTGCGACTCTGTCGCAGAGTGGAAAGAGTATACTTTCGACCGAATCGAGGTTATTCGATTATTCGAATAAATCGTTCAAATGCAAATGATTCAAAAATTCGAATATTCGAAGATCTGAGATTTTGAATGATATTTATTTATTTATTTATTTATTCAATACGCACAAAGCGTGCCATAATTGGAACAAAGAGCAAAATACGTAGAGCATGAACAGTAAAAAATAACAAAACATCCCCAAAAGCTCAAGTCCAGCTCCGTGAGTAAAAGGAGGTTAAGCCTGTAGACCGTGTATGAATATCAGTGCAGATGCTCGGCGGAGTCTGTCCCATGCCCCCTGCTTGTAGCAAAAGTGCTCTTAAAGTATTCAACTTAAGCAATTATAATGCGGGGAATAGATGTAATAAGAGAAATTTGCCCGGCTGATTCGGGGGAGGGAGCAGAACTCCGAGACAAAAGTTTGTGAGGCAAAAAAGATGTCAGGTCAGACAAGCTATCATGACTTATAATAAGCGGCTTAATCTGAAGTTGTGTGGAGTTTGTCCGTTACGAAATTACAGTGAGGAATGATTTACGATACTAAACATCATGTGAGGTTAAGATAGCGAGTATGGTTCATTTTTAACTACGGCTCACGTTGCAATAAACCGAACAATGATTTGAGAGGCAAGCTCTCAGAAAGTGAGTTTACCACGGTTCACGATTCCAGTGCGAACCTCTGCGAAGCAGAGGTGAAGCACTGGTTCCCAAATAACAACGAAAGTGAGTGAACCGGACCCGAACTATGTGTGGATAAAGTAAATATCGGAACAGTGAGTGACGTGAAGGTCCACTGATCACAAGTTTGGTACTTGCGAAAGCTATCACTGGAAGACTTTCTGCCCGATGAGTGACAGACTGACAGAGTTGGTCGGTTACAGGGTACTGAAGTAGGCCCGCGACACACGTAGTAGTGGGTGTAGGGAAGATTCGGCAGGCAAACGGTAACACTGTACGAGCGATGTCAAGAAAGTCGTCTGGAAGAAAATTAGTCAAAATCAACTTCATGAATAAAATAGTATGCAGTATATAGATATGCAGTAGTCGAATATTCAAACATTTTTGTTCCCGAATATTAGCGGAAGTCGAATATTCGAAAATCTCAACTTTCGAATATTATTCGATAGTCATTAATTCGATCATCCCATGTCCATCGAATATTCGAAAACTCAATAAGCAACTATTCAAATAAGCTTCGAATGTTCAAAAATTCGATATCCACAACATATACGGAGTGTCCCAAGAGTACCCACACACTGTTTGATCGCTAGTACCTCTCACAAAGTTTTTTGTTCACCTCTAAGTAACATCCTGTATGGACGTCTTCAGCTTACAAATACAGCAGAAAGCGAATCACCCATGTTTCTATTGTTGTGTTGTCGCGGCAGGAACTTCCAGCACATAAAGAAACTGCGAAATGAGGCATCCAAAACAATTTCCCCAAAAAAAAAAGATTTGACTCTATGTAGCAGGTTTTTAGTATGCTAATTTAACTACGCGCAAGTTTTCAAACTTTTCAAATGTGCAGTCACGTTTTTAAAAAACACTGGAAAACATCTGTTACGGTATACCTGGCATAAGTTGTGAAAAAAGCATTACGGCTGAGTGCAAGTTCTTCATATAATGAGTGTCTTTGAAATTCTAGTGTGAGATCAGCCTTTTTGATTCCCTTTCTTGGGTGGACGGGTCTTGATGTCTCACAACCTTCCTCAATTTTAATACGGCAGATTTACAACACTGAAAAGCGATCGATAAATCGCTCCATACTGTTAGTAAGTTGATGTCAGCCCACAGAACCACATACTGTTGGGACCCCTGTATGTCAATTCACAACTCTCAATGAAGGTAAATAATCTTCTTTGAAGTTCGAAAAATTTCTTCAATACCGTTACCGTACTTCTTAAGTCTTTTCACGTCATCATTAAACCGTTTTTTCATCGTAAATTCTAACATAAAAAAGGGTCTTTTCTTAATACTTACTTGAAAAAATTTATTCTTAGATGTTTTGGTCTTTCATGGGTAGTTTCACTGACATAAATTATTCCAATAGTATTCGAAAATCGAATGATATCCGAAAATTGAATATCGAATGATATATTAGGTCGTTCCGAAAGTAATGTCGCTTTTTTCAAAAGTATGCCACATCTCGTGGAACAAAGATGTGTAAGATATTCTGGTAGCATTTGGGCGGCATTTCATTCTCTTTCTAATGGTCATGAAGCTGTTGCAATACAATCAATGAGCTTCCACAAAAGAGTCAAGATCTGCGACCTATGCTTTTTGAAATGGTCAAGTTTCACAATTTTTCTACAAATTTATAACAAACCTCAGAAGGAGTCCAAGTAATGGATGGATGGAGCAAACCCTACAGAAAACAGCACAACTTTTTTCTACTTTCCAGAGCTCGTCACAATTTTCGTACAGATTTTTTGATGGAACCACCGAATTTTAGCAGTCTCGTCTCAGACACAAGTGCATCAAACGCCAACAAGTCTTCGGATTTTGAAACTTACAAAGATGGATTATGGTTTGGCAACAATTTTACAAACCAAACGAGCATTAACCGCTTCGGTTTAGCAACTTTCGAAAATTTCGGGTACACCATGAGGTGCCTTGAAAAAGTTGAAATATGATGATTTTATCCCAGAAAACTTGATGAATCGGAAACAAAAAACAACCGCTAGAAAGAGGAAAAAAGCTGCATCGAATGACTCCCGAGTCGCTTGCCGGTTGTTGTTCTGTGAGGTTTGACTTGACTAAATATGGAATTTGATGGCATGGAGAAATTGATTGTATTAGGTTGTCCGGAAATTAATGCCCGTTTTGAATTTCATCCGCAATAAGTCGTACACTCTTCACTTCTAAATGGATAGCAAAGTACCGTTCGATAGAGCAAAGCAAGCTCTACAAGATGGCCATCTTGCTTTTGCAACAGCTTTGATCCATCTCGAGTTTCGAGCCAAAAACTAAAAAGACTCAGCAGCCCGAAAAATCGAAAAAAATCGTTACTCATTTCATAAAAATTCTACAAAAATTCTAATTTGCTCGCGTAAACACTATCCACATAAGACATCAATATATGCCGTTGCCGTATTTTTTTCTCTGTTAGAAACCAAGGAAACGGAAATTTTCGTGCATTTGCCAAAGTGATGCTGTGCCGTCCCCACATAGGTAGTTGTATACCACAATTCTGTAGAAGTACAGACTTAAATTTCCAGCTCTCTACAAGCTTTAGTTCTCGAGAAATACCGAATATAGCTTTCCCTAGTTAGGTGTGTCCAAGCTAAAATTCAAATTTCTCGAGAACTAAAGCTTGTGGAGAGCTGAAAATTTAAGTCTATACTTTTTCAGGCCTGTGGTATACAACTACCGATGTGGAGACGGCACAGCATCACTTTGGAAAATGCACGAAAATTTCCGTTTTCTTGGTTTCTAACAGAGAAAAAATACGGCAACGGCGTATATTGATGTCTTATGTGGATAGTGTTTACGCGAGCAAATTAGAATTCTTGTAGGATTTTTATGAACTGAGTTACGACTTTTCTCAATTTTTCGGACAGTTGAATCTTTTTAGTTTTTGGCTCGAAACTCGTGGTGGATCAGAGTTGTTGCTAAAGCAAGATTGCCATTTTGTAGAGCTTGCTTTGCTCTATCGAATGGTACTTTGCAACCCATTTAGAGATGAGAAGTATATGACTTAGCGCGGTTGGAATTTAAAACGGGCATCAATTTCCGGACAACCTAATAGAAACTATGAGAAGCAAGCTAAGGAAAAGAAAAAATTACTTTGTGTTCTATAGTGTTTGCTTTATCTACTTGCCACTTGTACTATCTCGGAGATTGGGTACAAAAATTTAGAGAAATAGCCGAACTTGACTATGGCAAAAAGCATGAGTCGCAGATTTTGGTAAATTTTCGAGAGCTCACTGAACATTATGCAGTGAAATTAGAACTATTAAAAAGAGGATGAAATGCTGCATCGAATGCTTCTAAGATCTCTTGAAAATGTTGATTTCACGAATAGTGGCGTTCATTCAAAAAAGCGACATTACTTTCGGAACGACCTAATAAAATATTCGAAATTCGAATATCGAATGCTATTCGATATTCGAATACTATTCGATTCGAAAACTTCCATTTTCCAACAAAATTCGATAGTCGAGTATTCGAAATCTTCAATCTTCGAATATTATTCGATATTCAAACATTCAAAAAAAAATTTCGAATTTCCAAAGTATAGTGGAGAGTCCCGCCAGCATTACTTTCCCAGGTTTTCGACCATATTTCTTGCTTGCTATCAGACCTTATGGCCTTGCACCTGCGCGATGACACGTCAGAAGGAGCAACTTTCGCACATACCACTGATATCCCAAAACCCTCACCTTGTCCGGAAATTAGTCTTACCCAGACCTATTCGCTATTTAAATCGGAAGATCCGACCGCAGAGCGCGAGAATGATGAAAAAGGGCTTCAAGGCAGGAGGGGAATTTTTCAGTGGGCGGGGCCCTCCTCATCGTGAATTCACGCTCTCAGCGAGCGATCTTCTCTCTTTCACTCTCCGCCCTAACATCGTCATAGGTCAACCGCGAACTCGTGGCTTGAAAGCGAGAAATTGCCCCGGAAGCCGAGAGCGTGAGTTTACAGCGGGGAAGACCCCGCCCACCTCTGCCTCTTCTGCGTTAGAGCCTTTTTTGCCGTTTTCGCGCTTTTCAGTGTGGATTTTCGGATTCATAGTGAATAGGCCCCCCGTATAAGCACAAAATCTCAAAATTGAGTTCTTGCCCGGGCACCGCCTTCAAGGAGGCTAATACAGTTGCTTGGAGATCAGTATGATTCAATCAAAAAGAAGTAATTTTGAAGATTTCTTGAGTACTTTCAATGTGTGGTTCTCTTAGAATTATATCGACTACTTCTGCATCTGAAGCTTTGACTACTTCCGCATCGGAAGTAATGTCCACAATAACCCCAATGCTCCGTGGTGAAGTGGCAGTGAAAAGGATTCATGAATGGAACGATGTGACTCAAAGCGCAGAATACGGTAAGCTTTTGACATTCGCATTTGCATTCATACGAAATCTCCAGGTGTCACATTGATGACTGATCGTGGAGACGATGAGTTCGATGGTACGGACGAAGACATGGATCAGGCAGTGTCAGTAGAGCCTGTGGAGCCCAAAAAAATCACCCCAGAAATTGGTAGTACCACACTACTTCCCCGCTTAAACATCGACTGGTCGCGAGAAACTCTTATATTGATATACAGCTTACTCTTTGCTATCGCTACATTCTCGTTGATGTGTATACTGATTTGCTATATTTGGTGTAGGAAAAGGAGACAATCACATGATTTTAAAACAAATTATTAACACATTATTGATATATTTTCCTATTCATCTTTCACTCTGGCATAACTGCATTTTCACCATAATGCATTCAAATAAGTAACTGAATATCCTTTCCCACCTGTTCTCCCACGCACTGCCATGCGAGGGGTGCTCAGTCGTTGCCTCGCTCTATTCATATCTCCGCATTCTAGTCAAAAAGAGCTAAAGAACACTCGCTTATTCGTAATTCGATATCGGGTATGATCACAAGCGTAGCGAAACATGTGAACGATTTTATTTTTCTAGTAGTATGCTCAATATTTTGTGTATATATACGTCAAACTTTAAATAAAGTTTTCGTTTATTTTTATTTGGAGTTCAACATTTCATTGCTGAACAACGGTGTAAAGACGGAGCTCTTTCTTTGTGGAACCATACATTCACAGAGAATTTCCTTTTCCATTTTATCGCGTTCATGCACGGTCGGACACCCCACTCACATGTCTTCAAGAATTTTGTTTGGAGCAATGTTTTTTACGAAAAGTTATGCCATTGATTGCGCCCATCATCTCTTCGTCTAACCCTTAGCCTTTATGAAGTTATCTAGCCTTATGAGACGACAACAATCTCGCTGCAAAGTGAACGAACTCACTTTGCACGATATCTCCTTTCCCGTAGGACCAGGTAGCGAAATATCTTCTATCTAGCCTTTCCTAGTGTCACACTGACATGGCTTTTAATATTTAAGACTCACAGCGTCAACGCAATGTAGCGTCCTTGTTTCCGTGACAATGGAAGCTTGTTCCTCTTCTTTCTCTTGTTCCATCTGCATCTTATTTATTCTTAGATAGGTGTATCGAGATGAAATATGAAATATGAAAAGCGGACAACACATGGTGTAACCCGTATGATCAGTATTACCTAAGGCCTCTTTTATGATATATAATACTTACAGAAGAGGACTACAGCAACATACATTGAAACATTCAAGATGACCAACAGACACAGCCCTTTATTTCAGAAAAAATCTAGCAGATAGATCACACTAGGGAATGCAACTCCCCCTCTAGTGAGTTTATAAACAGACTGTCAGCAGCAATTCTCAAATTTTAGGTAACCTTCAGCTCAAAGTTCACTGTTAAGATCTACCCGCGTCAAGGAATATATTGAGTAGGACATGAGACTTTCAATTACTGAGTAGGACATGAGACTTTCATTAATGGATTGCTGACAAATTTGGTTAGCTATGTGCACAGTAAGCATAAAGCATACGCAAGAAGTGAGCCACGGAGAATATCGAATAACACAGCCCAATGCATATTTGCCTAGTCGTTCTAAATTATTTTTCCCTAGGATGAATGATAGACGACATCTTGTGTGTCTACCGTAAATCGCATATCAACTTCTACCTGGCAGACTCTTTTTGTAAAAGCTTGTCCACGCACATTCCTAAATTTGAATCCCTTCATTTCTGAATTTTGGAGCACTGAATCTAACATGAGCTATGGCGTAAGGTTCACCTTCAGCACACTTCACAATAAATGTGGACGAGTTCTTTTCAGCACATACCAGACATTGACGGGGCTGGGTCACAGTAAAGTGCGCATTGGTGACTTTCCGCACTCCAGTAAAGTAAAGAGGAACTTTTTGTGATGCCGCTGTTGATCCTTTTTTCGCTCCAACTTTTTGCAGAAAGATTGCTGTTTTTTTTTTCGTCGAAATGAAAAAACAACAAGCGGCTTTGCAAAAAAACGTGATTTATGGTACATATCATGGATGAGTTTTAAGTGCTGGTCTCTAATGTTAAGACACACATACGAGCAGACTGAGGTTTTAACTGAATGTACTTTTATTCCCTCTAACGGAGCAATTCCTCGCTCAGGTAGTCATCTTTTACAGCGAGATAGGAGGTTTTTCGCAGCGCATGAACGGCTTTCGTGAACTGATGGAATCAAAGAGTCATGCTATGCTAGTCATGCCAGAAGAATATGTACTCCAACCCAATAATATTTTACCATTTGAATTCCGCCAAGCTTGTTGAAAGTCTTAATCATCCTCTGATTCCTTACAAGCCTCGTACCCCATTATCAAAAAATAGTAGTTTATACCATATGCACTTTTTCAACAACTTCATAATTTACCGCTAGTTTCGTAGTAAGCTTTAGACACTTTCAAAGGTCTTATGTTGAGTTCTCTGCATACATCTACATCTAGAGCGAGGACGATCTATCCGGAAATAATGTTTCTTATAAGAATCCAGTACAAAAAGGGCGAAAGATAGCGAGATCGCCTCCAGGAACTTATCACGCTGAACAAAAGTGGCACGAAAGGCGACTCCTAGTGAACAGATCACATACTTCTTGGTGATGACAGCTACTAACTCTACGTCAACAAAGCTATACTTGCTAGCCCTGGCATACGATTTGCTTATCCACTTCATCCGCTTCATCCGCGGCAAAACAAAAAAGATATCACTGATTTGTCATTTTTCCATGTAATAAAACAACATCGCCACATCACAAATTCTTCACGTCTGAAGCACATATCCTATCCTAATATGGCGTGTGGCCTTGATGTGAGCATCACCTCCTTATTCCCATTATCACTTTTCCAGAAGTCTGACTGACCACAAACTTTACGTGATATCGAAGATACTGCCTACCAAATCGTAGTTTGTAGTGATACTAGTACTTTGTAATGCTTGAGTGTTTACGCAAATTTTATCTGCATTCTATTTTCTCTTCAACACGTTTCGGACCGCGAAATCGCGCGCGGCGAAAAACAGTGTACTTTCAACCGTTAGCCTACAAGGGGACCTTATTTCGCAGCCTGTGGGTTACATCTGTAATCAGCATGTCATATAAGCTCCATACCCAAAGTTCTGAGTGAATTCGAAGCGTTTGAATTTTGCCACTTGAGAAGGACTTCTGCGCTTTCCTGAAAGATAGGAACAAGGACTCACTTCCTAATAGTATCCAAAAGTATCTATGTTGTACACTGTACACATCAGTATTAAAACTACGGTTTTTCTCTTTGATATTGAAGCAAAGAGAAGCTGCGACGTCGCACGCGTCGTTCGCGTTGCCGCACTTCGTTGCAACTGTTGTTCGATTTGTGCTCATATCTCCTAAACAAATATGAGCGGCACAGCTCTACAGAGTCATTTGAGAAGTAGGAGCTCAGACCTTTGACTTAACAACTTTGGACTAAAAGAAACCCTCCTGTAAACTTCAGAAAGATCCTTCGAAGCAGCGTGCTGCATCAAGTGCAGCACCGGTCCGAAACGTGTTAAAACTGTGTGCTAAGTAGCCTGATGTAAATTTTCGCTTCCCTTGGTAGTCTGTAACCAGAAATGCTTTGTTAAAATTGCCAACCATATTAGTCAAACTTCTGCTTTCTCACTGGCAATAAATTTGTGCGAACAAGTTCACTCCAATCTTGCATTCATTCACAAGAAGAGCTTAGAAAATGCAATGCTTTTTAAGCGTAAGTAATTATATACAAATATTGAGATTATTTGAAATTTGCTATGAAGTTGTTTGCGTCATCAAATCAAGCTCAGTGTGATGCTGCACTGTCGGACTCAAATCGCCCAACTCATTTGAAGAGAACCAAAGGGAGCGATTATCGGTATAATGTAACAAGCAGCTACTGAGGTTTAGTTCAGCAGCAAAAATCATTGTCACATTTGTTCGAAAGACTGACAAGGTACGACGGACTCTTCGCAACCTAAGCCTTATCGCTTAACTCGTGGTGCTATACTGAGTTTATCAGACTGTGTAATAAGTTGTGTTATAGCTTCGTTGGTATTTTTTCAACTTTCTCTTGATATTTTGTGTGATTTTATTGATGCAAGTGCTGGAAGCTTTGCTCCTGCTTACTTAATATCTTAGATTCACACAAGTTACAGCTGTATAAAATTTTGGTGAGGTGTTGAAAGTGCCATTGTGTTTATTGCTTTGATAAAGACGTGCCCAAGATGTGACTTGGTTTGGTTGGTCACCACGTGCCTTCCTTACGTAGCCACGATTTGATACCAGCGGCGAACCGAGGACGCGGGGCTTCGCGAAATTTTGCATCTCAATTACAATTGGCTTATACAGATGTGCAAGTGACTTATACTAATAATTCACACATAATTGTAAAGACATTGTAAATAATTGAGACAACATTCAACAATTTTAAAAATTCAATTAAGCCTTGTAAAAAATATTTTGGAGGCGTGCGGACCCACAAAAACTTTGAGGAGCATTCTGAAAAATTCAGGAGCACGTGGCTTCTAGAAATTTATTATCCCCTTTCGCTGAACGAAATCCTGCGACCACCAGTGTTCCACATCCACACTTTCTATCATACCTGCGATGGTCTAGAGGGCGGCAAATCTTCACAAAAAGTGAACGTTGTTTATGGATCAGAGAAGAAGAAAGACGCAAAACAGATATCAGCAAAAGATACTGCTAAAAAGCGGATAAAAACTTTGCAATGAGTTTAAAATCTTTCATTTGGCGGCTTTTCAAAGTGCAGGTTTTCGCTCAAAGACCAGTAATTCGCAGCACTGGGGGAAACGAGGAAAAGCTAATTCCTTTTTGTGATTCTTTCATAAAGAACCATGTTTCGAAAGTATTGCTTATCAAAAAGAAGATAAACGAGGAAGAAATTAATTATGAAAACACAAAATTTCATTTTACTGAGTCGAAACGCACGCAACATCAAAGCGAAAGGTAGTTTTTGTGCGTTTCTTGAATTTTTATCCCCCCCCCACTGAAGTTCCTGTTTCCTGGGACGTTGTCTGGATTAGTGCGCTTACTGTTCTGAGCAATAATCGCGCAAGCTGGAAAAAAATTGCTGCAAAAACACTGAAAGAGAAGAAGGTAGAGAAAAACGCACTTTTCACAGATTTCACGAGGAAATCCAGTATAATGGAAGAAGTAAGCTATGAGAGGTTGTCCACATCATTGACGGAAGCAAGATCTATCGAATGCACGAAAAAACCGCATGAAAAGAGGTGAACTAGAGAAAAAAAGAAATTTTCGAAAACACGACTTGCCAGATTTCTCCTTCAAATTAGAAAAATGGGGTTTTGGGACGCTGTCAACGTGAAAGTAGAAGAACTTTAACACCTAGAATTGGGTTCAAAACAACGAAGAAAAGGAGACCAGAGCCAAATGCCCCGTGCCGCGCATTTGAGGTAGCGAAATAGCGCGCAGTGCGCGGAGACGCAGACGAGCGGAGAAAGACCAGAGCTGACGGGGCATTTGGCTCTGGTCGTAGATCTCGACGGGGTCTAAACGGAACCCCGCAATATACACATAACCCTACATACACCCATTCATTATATATCGGTGTGATCCTCAAGACACG